CCTGTCTTCCGGCACTTGTTGTAGCCAGGTCCACTAGCCTCTTCTCTCCCGGTGGCTTGGTCCAGGCATGCCTCGCTCTCTCTCAGGCTGGCTGACGGCGGCGGTTCTAGGAAGTGGCGACTCTTGTGTGTGCAACGGGATTGCGGTTGGTTGTGGGTCCGGCGGCGCCCGGTGTCTCCTCTATTCAACGACGGGTGAAGCTTGCCTCCCTGCTGTAGTGGCTCCAGCTATCGGTGCTTCCCACATCTCTGAATCTTCCTGCGGCATTGGGATTGTTCGATCAGGCCGGGGCGAAATCCCTGCACAGATGTGCTGGCAGCGGCGACACCTGCAGGTGCCGTCTCCTTCCTGAAGGCGCTGCCATGGCCTTATCCATGCCCCTCTTCGAGCACCGTAGGAAACTCTAGATCCGATTCTCTAGATCGGACGGCAGCGGCATCTCAACGCCGTCACTTTCATTAAGGTGTTGTCTTGGCTGCTCGTGGCGTCCTGGGTTTTTGATTTGGAGTTGTCAGGTGTCGTGCTTGGTGTGGGTGCTTCTCCAGGCATGGGCATCCTGGGCGCAATGTACGACATCGTCGGCTCTTCCTCCATGGTTCCTTCCTCAGGCTCAGTCGTGTCCTGCAACCCACTTGCCGGCTCTTCTAGGCGCTTCTGGTGGGGGGTACGTTGATCCGGTCGGCTCTGCTACATGGCTCTTGAGTCGTAGCCACGTGTCGTGGGTGCCTCATGTTGGTCGTGACGCGGCCTTGGTGTCTTGTGTCTCGTCTCCTCACCTTTCTTGGTTGGAGTTCGAGCTAGGCTAGTTTTGGGCTGTGTTGTTTCTTTTCTGTTTTCCCACATTTGGTGTGGTGTACTCCTTCCATCTCTATGTAATGTTCTTTCTTTGTAACGTTCTCTTCTACCTATCAATGAAATGATACGCAATCTCTGCGTATTCGCGAAAAATGTGTATCTACTATCATTCACAACACCAAAGATGAAGCTATCAAGTCTTGAAAACCCTTGATTCTCAGATTCTCGGCCCAAGGAATGCAACTATAGGAGTTACTTCTGCTACTCTCTCTGTAATCACCCTAACAGGCTACAAGTTGTGTAGTGACCAACAACAATACATAGTGATTTGGTCTGCGATGCACCGATTGCACCAATAGTGCGCTCTGTTTTCACTAGAGGACTAGACTTGGCATAAATTAAATTCTCCCCATGAGAATTTTCAGCTTAATAAGTAGCACAAGACGAGATGGATTTCCTCGAGCCAGAGGAAGTGCAGAGTCCTTGGTGACTACGCATTCTTTCGATGCCCACCATAATCTGGTGGATAGTGCCGAGTCAATGTTCAGAGAAGGGATC